TTGTTTTTAATAAATAATGAGCTGACTTCAGAGGACCAGTTTTTGCAAGTCAGTTGTTATCAACTGGTCACATTTAAGGAAAGTAAATTAACTGGAGGAAAATAGACAAGTTTATTTAATTTGTATCCAATTTTAGAACAAATGCTTATCAAATAGCTTGACATTCTGCATAAAATATATAGTTAAAGGGATACTCCAACCACCATAACCACTATAGTCTGCTGTAGTGTCGATCATATGAGGAGTACCCAGGCACCATTTCCTTCTCATGAGAATGGTTTACTCTTTTATCTGATCCTGCTGAGTGTGGGGTCTCTTCTGAAGCAGTGTTTATGACATCCACATCCACATCCACAGAGCTGCAAAAGCCACATGGCGATCCTGCCACTCATTCGTGGGCTGAGAGCATCAGCTGAATAAATTAGATTCTGTGCATTGAAATTTGCACAGACATTAGCCAGCCTAGAAGTACTAGTTCTAGGTTGGCTGAAGTCAATGATGCTGCCAGAGGTCGAGTCACAACTCTGGCAGCAAAGTCGGTATGTTTTAGACTCCAGGCACCATACCTGAGTAAAACTACTGAAGTGGTCATGGTGCTTGGAGTAACCCTTTAAGAAAGTAATTTTAGATGTCTTGTCAGGAATGTTTACATTTGGTGGACTATTAAGAACTAAGCTCATCACTAAAGTAGAACAACGATACTTGAAGAAGTATCACTTCTCTGGAACTTGCACCATTAAATAAAACATTGAAAATTACTATAACCTGTGTTATCTTTTTATATATGAAATGCAATGTTTAATTTATCCTATTCTCTGTATGCTTTCTCTGTGCTGCCAAGTATAAACTTATAACAATAAATTAAAATTAACGTAACATTGAGTAACTCATTTGTAAGATAAAGAGCTGTGGGTTTCTAATTCCTTTTTCCTCCACACCTCTCAAATTCATATATAATTTTTTAAATAGAAGTAAAAATAATGTTAAAAATACAGGAAAGCAGCAGCTCCTCTTTAGATGTGAATGTGTTATTTTATTTTTTAATATAAACTATAGAAAATATGGTGTTTGCAAGAAAAGTATATTGTAATGACTTTGAAATCTCTCAAAAATAATTATATAGAAAAACATTTCAGTGAGACTTTACTGTTCCATATATGGGGAATGGGGATTAATAAACAAATGTTGGTGCAGGTATCCTGGTAAAACAATTACATATTATTATTGGTAATTTGTGGTCTTATGATCATTTTATGACCTCTTTCCTGTGTATAATTTATTATCCTTTTTTGTTTTACAATTACATCAGCCAACATGTTCTTATTTTTATTGTGTTTCCATGTTTGCTTTTAATACTATGAAGCCAAACTAATTGCTTGCTGGCATGATTCAGCATTTGACCAAAATAGATGTAATTATACAAATATCCAGATTTAACAGATTGTGGGCAATTACTTTAACATTTTGTCTGTTGAAAAAATAGAATGCCTTCTTTGTTTTAAATGTGTAAATATTTTGCTTCATTAAAATGAAATGTTAGGAACAATGGTGTTGATTGGACATATCTATAGCACTGTAATCATAATGTACCAATGGACAAAAGCTCAGTTATGAAACACTCTGTAACCTGCTTAAGTATAACGTTTAAAAGTTAAATATTGAAACTTAAGGAAGCAAATAGAGTATTTGAATTGTGTTCAAGTAATCTCTCTTAGCATATATATATATATATATATATATATATATATATATTTAAATATTATTTTCATTTGGGTAAGTAAATATGTGCAGATTACATAAATATTAGTGATGGTGCTTAGCTACTATGGGATGTATTTAGTAACATGTTTGCATTGTGTTTGCTTGTGACTTGTTTCTGGTGTCTCCATCAGTAGGCTACCAGAGAGCAAAGGGGCCAGGAAAGTGTACTGTGCATGTGTTTGTAGTGTTATATTTATGTCTAGGGGCTGTAGTGAGTGAGCGAGTGTGTGTATAGGGGGCATAGTGTGTATAGGGGATGTAGTGAGTGTGTGCATAGCAGCTTCAATTTATGTGTGTATAGGTAATGTAGTGTGTGTAGGGGTTGTAGAGAGTGTGTGTTTAGGGAATGTAGTGTGTGTTTGCTTACAGGGAATCTAATGTGTGCATAGGGGATCCAGAGTGTGTATGTAAGGAATGTAGTGTGTGTGTGTGTGTGTCTATAGGTGGTGCAGTGTGTGCATGTGTATGTGTAGGGGCTATAGTATGTGTGAGAGCAGGAACAGGAACAGCTTTTACAAGAGCTAGTGATTATACTCTGGGGAGTATAGTGATTATAGCAATCCCCAGAGTGTGGTTCTCCTATCCCCCAAACATGAGCCAAGACTTCATGAAGGGTAGAACATGTCTGAGACTTTATTGGTACAGGTTTGCTTATATACAATTCCTCAGGCCAGAGGCACACCCCCTGGACCACAGGCACACAAAGGACACAAACCAATCAGAACAAAACAACAATGTCTGACACTCCCACTTACAGCACACAATCCCTCCCCTCTGCCTGTGATACAATTAACAAAGACAATGGGCTAACTCAATTAACTCTAAACAGAAAAAACATACATTTTTACAAACCCCAAAAAGTACCCCAAAATACAACATACCCCCATAAATCACATCACCTGAAAGCCCCGATCTGGGTGAACAACATATCCAAAAATCACCCAGATTGGTTCAGGAGTGAACATGGTCCCATGCCCAAAACAGTTCCACACACTCGATGACAAAACACCAGTGGACAATTTAAGATGGAGTGTGAGGAGTGCCGTGTGTGTGTGTGTGTGAGGAGTGCCATGTGTGAGGGATGTAATGTGTGTGAGGGCTGCAGTGTGTGAATATTTTGGAAGGTATTGTGTATATACATATATATAGATTTTTTTTTATTGAGTATATTATACTGTATATCCCACTTCCCTCTTCTTACCTTTGCCAGGAGGGGGGACATTGTGGTAAAGCCCTGATGGTTCTCATGGTGAGTGAACTCTTGTGATATCTGAGCTTTTTTATGGTGACTTTGGCAATGCCTTAAAGGAGCTGAAGGTTAGAGCTCTCCTCTATGGATTTTGATGCCTGTGATGTCTGTCTTTAATCTTCCCACTGGCCATCCTGGCATACAGCAGGGCCAGCACTGTGACCTCACAGCTTTGCATTTCTCTGACTTGCCTGATGGTCAGTCTGGGCGTGGCTGTGTGGGCCAATGGGTAAGATCTCTGTGCTGCTTTTAGTGTGAGTCTGCACCCCCATCTTGGTGAAGAACACTACTGATGCTCAATTCTTAACAGAGACCAGAAGAGAGAATTCAGAGGAGGCAGCAACCAACCAACCAACCAGAGGTTGGCACAGGACCACCAGGGGTCCTCACTGGACCACTATGAACCAGAGCATTGCCTCTCTCTGCCCAGGAAATAAGCTGGAGAGGTAGCAACAATTTAAAAAAGACTACACAGAGTGTGGAAAGGCTGAACACTGACACAAAGCCTCCACACACAGCCCCCTTCTAGAGTCACCCCCTCAGTCCCATAATTACCAACGTCGCACTCACTTGCCACAAATTCACCCTCATACATACGTGGTCACCCTCATACACTGTTACCTCCATATACATGTACCCCCCTGCTGTGTTGTGTGTATGGTCACCCTCATACACCTCAAAGCCCTTGTATGTCCAAATTCTTCTGGCAGACCTCTTGAATGCACAAGAGTACAGCACTGAAGTCTATAAAGGATCCTGTGAGGGCACACATGCCTTTATAGATGACATATTTAAATCAGCAAGATAATGCCTGAATCCCACACTTATCACTTATGTAGGCTGGGATTGGACAAAAGTTGATAGAGAAAACCCACCTTTTGTCAAACTCTGGCATGAATATAAAACAAAGTAGTCTCTTATGATACTTTTGGGTTTCATTGAATTTCCACTACAGTCAGCATGATTAAATCTTTATAAAATACTCAAAGGACAGAGCCGCTTTAGAGATGTACTCAAGCTATGCTGTTTGGGACCTTTGCTCTAGTTTCCTCAGAAGTGAAACATCAGGGAAAGAAGTTTACATTTTGGATTATTTTTATTAAACTTTTTTTTTTTTTTACGTTTTGAACATAGACAATGAGGATACAATGAGACAATGAGGATAACAGAGACAATCCATGGAAAATGGATAAAAAATAGAAATGGAAGGGGGGTGGTCTATTTGGATTCTAATCATCTTTCTAATATTTATCATATTTTATTTAAGAAAAAATATATTTTATACATTACTACTCTGATTCTATTATTTTGTCTATTCTTGTTTTCATTTATTTTGCCTGTCTCCCATGAGATCAGTGTTAATATTATCTGAACAGTCACTAGATTTAGCAGATTATGTGGCTTATTGACCAAATGAATTATGGAGAGTTTACAAGAAATTGCTCATTTAGGCCAACTTTTGAGCTTGAAATAAACAAGCTGGAGAATTTTTAGTTTTGGTTTTTATTTTTTCCTAAATGTTCAGTTCTCCACAAATCCAAGTTCAGTTAATAGACTCTGAAAGTATTTGTTTAAATGTTTTGCATGTAATACAGACTTTCATGATTCTGTGTGCATTTAAAAAAGCTCCCATAGGGGGCGGGGCCTGGCCAGCATGGCGGACAATTGCAACTCGCAGGAGCTCCCAAGCACACTATATACCTGCAGGTCACAAATGGACCCGAAAAGTGACAACGCGGAAGGAGGCTGGAAACGGGATGCCGCCTGCCACAAGCATTACAGAGCGGTTGTGGCCTAGCGAGGGTTATGGGCGGGAGGGGCGGCCGACCTCCTGTCCCAGATCCCCTCACCCAACAGGACCACCCAGGGCTCTGCCCCCCCCCCCTCTGGATCGGGGGGGGATATCCTGGTCCGTACTCCACTACCTACAGAGTGGATGGCCCCTAGCGGACGACGCATCAGAACCATGGAACATAACCAGGTGCACAAAATGGCGGACTCACTCACCTGCTATAGTCAAGCACAAACACTCAAGGCGGACTGGTGCCCCAGGGGGACCTTGTGGCAAAGATTGACGCTATCTTTGAAGCTTTCTGGGCGAAACTGGCGGAAAAAGCAGCAGATCACCAATGGGACTCCCCAGCAAAAGACCAGAGGCAGACATCCCAAAATGGCCGCGGAGCACATAAAGACATTCAAGGGGCTACAGCACCCGCCATTAGCGGCAGCCACCTCCCTGAACCGGGAGCTACCAAGAGAACAGTTCGCCGGAAGTGACCAGGCAGAAGGAACATGCCACCAACGCCTACAAGCCGCCATCTGGGGCGACCAGTGCTGACAGAGGGGAGGTCTACAAAGTGGCACCCAAGCAAACAAAGAGACACAACGACATGGCTCCCACATGTGCTTAAGGCCCAGAGAGACTGCCCAACAGATTACCAGCGCTTCCCGGTGTCGGGAGTCAGCTGAACGTGGACTTAACATGCCCTTCCATGCCTACCTTACCAGACCCACTATGTACCAATAGCAGCCACCTTATCTGATTGTGCAAACTGTTATGTGCTTTAACCCATGGTTTACCCTGTTCTTTTATATGTTCAGCCAACCTAGCTTGTATCTTCTATTTTACACTCTCTATCCCTCTGAAGAGTATTTACCCGTGTATAACTAACCAGGTAAGCTACAAAATCAAAGATATACCTCATTAGCTAAACCAATTATGCTAGCCTAAGTATCAATCAAGTCTAACTAACCTGCTAACAAAACGTTCTCAAATCTACTAAAAACCGTGTTAGCTAATGACATACCAAAGATTAATATGTAGTGTCTCTCTAGCTAGTACCTTCTCAACTTCAACCTAGCAATTGTTAACTCATGTTATATTTACTCCTTAAAAATGTGCGCATATTATCTGAATGTCCTCAATGTGTTTCAATGCATGGTATGACTTTTGGCTCGTCAATTGCTCTTGGGGCATGACCACCATATATGTACTGATGATATGCACGACAAAAATAAAAAATTAAAAACAAAAAACAAAAAAAAACTCCCATAGGACTGATAGACCACGGAGAACAAAACTCTTAGACTATTGTTAGCTATAGCTTAGCCACAGTTGTCAACAACCAGTTTATCAGCAGTGTTACTGCTTGTCATATGTTATATAAATTAAATTGTGGTTGAATATCCTACACATATTTATATATTTATTTGATGTAGGCATTTTTTTAATTATACAAACCTTGCCAACATTTTTTATATATATATATATATATATATATATATATATATATATTTAAACCTCCATAATTTAATGTATACATTATACAGTATAAATCAATTAATGGAAATAAAGTTGAAAAGTGAATGTGGGACTTGAAAACTAATTTAGAAAATGTAGACTGTAGATAAAAAATTAAGCTTATCTTGTTATTTTTACTAGCTCTGCTGTTTTGGTTTAACTAAATCAGTACTCAAATCCACACTGACTTACTGTTTAGTGGGTCATATGCACAGAATATTATACATATTCAAGCAAAAATATGAAGATCGTTTTTTACAATGGAAATAAGTTTAAGCAATGTGTGCTTTAGGCAGCAAAACAAATCATCCTCTGCATGTAAAAAGATTATAAAATAAGTAAACACACAATAAAGTCACCCCATGAGGTTTACAGCCTACAGGAACATTTCCCAGTATCATAATGTAGTTTCAGAATATTTGTATGAAAATATTACCATTATCGTGCTTTCTTACTACTCTACTTAATACATATAGATTTATCTATTTGAAGATCTTATATACTGTTAAGGTAATTTAGTAAAATTAAATTAAAGTTAAATAAAATATGATACTTTTATGAACTTACAGCATTTGCAAAAGGTTTAGAGAGTAAAAGCTGTAATATCATCTGGAAGTTAATATATTAAATCTTAAGTCTTAATAGAATTGTGATCAAGTAAAAATCCTCCCACTTAACTTCTTTTATTCCCCTTAGAAGAAAAGCAAACATTTTGTTAATGTTCTAATTTACAATTAGACTTATGCATTGGTATTAGGACGATGGCGAATGTAAATGACATTAATTCCATTTGCAACTGAATGAATGTCAATCGGTTACAAATATAGATAGTCAATTACCAGTATGGTTTATGTGAAACGCCACAAAATGCATAAATGAGTGACAGGTGGCAAAAGAATATTAAATTAAAGTCTACTAAACCAACTGGTAATGAAATAATATTAGAAAACTGGTATAAAAAAATTGGTTTATACTAAATATTAGATACCAGATGGACATGCACAAATCATTAACATTAGGGTTGTGTTTTTTTTTCTCCTAGTGTTAGTATTTAAACTCAGGGGTGTGTTAGTGTTTTAACAAAAGGCTGTTTTAGTGTATAGTGTTGGTGTTTGAATGCATTGGTGTGTTTTTGTTTAGTGTTGGCATTTGAATGCTAGGGTGTGTGTTTTTGTAGAGCCCATGTTTGACTGCAGAGATGTGATTGTGTGTAGTATTGGTATTTGAATGCAGGGTTGTGTTTGTGTGTCTTGGTGTTTGCATACAGGTGCTTTTTCACGTACACACATACAATTTCACACACATGCTATATGCACATTGCCACATACAAAACACACAGACACTGCGCCCCGGCCCTTTCAGAGTGCTCCAGACCGGGCCCCTGTCTTCCTGCCTGCTTGGAGGAAGTGAGGAAATGTCACTTCCTCTCAAGTAACAAAGTGCTGTTGGGGAGGAGGAGGCACATATGGAAAAGGAGGAGGCGCACACAAAGAAGGAGGAGGAGAGGGACTGAGTGTCTTGGGTAATTAGTAAGAGATGGAACACAACTGCAGAATTTATTTTCCTGACTGAACTTATCCAGAATCTTCCAAGATTATTAAACAAATGTTTGATGGAGAAAACACAAATACTCCAGACTTTAGTTAGGATAGATGGTAAAAAGAAAAACAGTCAAGCAAGCATAAATTATTAAGGCAGACATAGCTTAAGAAAGTGATCCAGCAAAACAGTTATTAACTTTTACTGAGTATATATGTTTCAAGCAAGTCTTTGTAGATGAGTAGTTAAATATAGGAACAAAAGTCCAGCAAGTTTTAAGTAGCAAGCTAAGAATAGATCCAGCACAGGATAAAGCATGTAAAGCTGAATAAATTGCAGACAATATAATTTGTGTCAATACTTAAGGTTAAGCAGAGAGAGATTAGTCAATAAACAATCTGGGTCTTGGGGCAGGAGAGTTCACAGAAACGGCAAACAATCTGGGTTTAGAGGGCAGTAGAAGGCAGCAGAATCCAGGAAACAAGCAGAGTTGGGTACACAAGTAATTCAATCAGAAGAAAGCCCAGCCGGCACAATGCAACACAAGGTAACAAATTAACTGTGCATCATTAATCTGATGCAGCGTCCCTTTAAGGTGGAGAAAAAAACCTTGTCATAGATGTGGGAGGAGCGAAGTGAAGGTAAGACCTGACACTGAGGTGGCCAAGTTCCTCAGACTCACATCAACCTCAGCCATCCAGCTCCCACTGGACCTGAGGGAAGACACCCTTCTGCAAAGGTAAGTAGAGAGAAGGGTGGCTAAACTATGTAAATTTATATGATTGTGTGAGTGTGTATCTGACTGTGTGTGTATCTGGCTATGTGTGTGTGTGTGTCTGGCTGTGTAAGTGAGTTTCAGTGTGTGTATCTGACTGTGTTTGTGTCAGTGTGTTTATTTGTGTCACGTTAGTGTACCCCAACACGCAAGATTTAGTCTAACAAGAGACAAGATAAAGCAGATACGTCTTACCGGGCTTTAGAATGGCCGAACTTGACGTAGTACAGAGAAGTGACAGAGTCAGGAATGAGCCGAGGTCAAGGGAACAGAGAGACAGCGAAAACAAGAACTAGCCAAGGTCTGGTACACAGGAGTCAGGAAGCCGGCAAACAAGACAAAGCAGGGATAAAGAGAAAAACGGAGTCAGATACAAAGCCAAGGTCAAGCACGAAAAAAAACACTACTGAATGATACAAGCACTAAAGGGAACTGAATCAGAAACCATGACAGGGCAGGGAGCTAAGGAAAAGGTGAGTATAAATACCCTAGTGTTCAATTTAATTGGCCCCTCTCATATCCATGCCCCCAAAACGTGAGTGTATGGGGAATGTGGAATGACATGGGCAAATAGGAGACCGTTTCATATTTCGGCTCCCACTGTCCCTTTAAGAGCACGCCCGAGACATGCAGCGCGCTCCTAGAGCCAGACGGGGCGGACGAGCCACACGCGGCTTGTGCAGATGCAGGACCGCGCGCGACGGGAACAGAGGACCTCGGCCGGCCCCCGGAGAGGGTAAGTACCACTACAGTACCCCTGCGAAGACACGCCCACTGGGTGGGATGGACCAGGCCTGGCAGAAAAGCGAGAATGGAAGGAGCGCAGAAGGCGAGGAGCGTGAACAGCGTCAGCGGAAATCCAACTGCGTTCCTCAGGCCCATACCCATTCCAATGCACCAGGTACTGGAGGTGACCCCGGAGAAAATGAGAGTCAAGCACAGCAGCCACCTCAAATTCCTCATGTCCCTCCACAGAAACAGGAGGAGGAGGAGGAACAAGTAGGGTATAATGGTTACATAGGAGTGGCTTCAACAAGGAGGTGTGTAAGACATTAGGAATATGCAGGTTCCTAGGAAGATCTAAGGCATATAAAACAGGATTAATTTTATGTAAGACACAAAAAGAACCGATAAAACGGGGAGCCAGCTTCAGAGAAGGCACACGAAGGCAGATATTGCGAGTGGAAAGCCAAACCCTTTCCCCCACAACATAGGATGGAGACGCCCTGCGATGTTTGTCAGCTTGAACCTTTTGGCGAGCAGCAGAGTCCACCAAAGAACGCTGAACCTGCTCCCAGGTAGAACTTAAACCAGCCAAATGCTCATCCAGAACTGGCATGCCCTGTAAGGAGAATGCAGCTGGAAGAACAACAGGATGCTGGCCATAAACAACGTAGAAAGGGCTATTGCCGGAAGATTCATGAGCAGCATTATTACGAGCAAACTCAGCCCAAGGAAGCAGGTCAGCCCAATTGTTCTGATGGTGGGATACAAAACAATGAAGATACTGCTCTAGGGATTGGTTGGGGGTGGTAAGCGGAGCAAAACGAGAGAGAAATGCCCATCTCCGAACAAAAGGCTTTCCAGAACCTGGAAATAAACTGGCTACCCCTACCGGACACTATAGACTCAAGTATACAGTGTAACTGAAACACCTCCCTGGCGAAGATAGAAGCAAGTTCCTTGGATGAGGGCAATTTGACAAGAGACACAAAATGAGCCA